TCACACATGTCCCATAATAATCGCACAATTGAGTTGATTGCGCGTTTCGCATAACATGTCGCATAATAATCGCACAATTAGGTTGATTGTGCGATTCGCATAACATGTAACACAATAATCGCACAATTAGGTTCATTGTGCGATTCGCATAACATGTCCCATAATAATCGCACAATTGAGTTGATTGTGCGATTCCCATATCATATCCCATAATAATCGCACAACTGGTATGATTCGCCTAGTCTTCAACCGCATAATTAACGAATCGTATATCCAAATCGAAAGCCGCATAATTTACGACTATCCGCCATTTTTTTCGCATATCCATATGGACCGCATTGATTGATTGTCTGCACCGCATATCCAAATCGAAAATGCTTCGCATATTGTTCGCATAAGTTACGCACCGCGTTGATTGATTGTCTGCTTTTACACCTAAAAAACAATGACGGTTTGCATGCTTCCTCATTTAGTTGTTGAGTTGATGTATATCTACCTAGCCTAAAATGCTAAATGTATTCATTAACCTTTCATTCTCTTTGTTGAAGAGGCGACCTTTCACTTCTCAAAACCCTATCTTTTCATCGCAGCCAAAAAAAAAAAAACCAAGGAGGCGCACGTTTGCGAAAAAAAAATGAAAATGATTTCACCCTATGAAAAGACCGCGATCCGCTTCCATGGCATGGACTGGACAGAGGAGGAGGAACGTATTTGCTACCAAGTGTTTTCAAATGGTGTCGTCAAAAGGCAGACATACACAAAGGCCATGTGTTCAATTCCTTGTGGGCAGAAATTTCAATAGTCCTGAACCAATGCCTGAGTTATGCATTTAAGAGGGAGTTTACTATTTTTCAATTCCGGCGAAAGATTCAGCGACTCAGAAATTATTTCGATGAATTTACTGCTTTCCTGATGATTCCAGGCGTCCTCTTGCGTCGTGATACAGGCTTTGCTAGGGTTAACCACATGTACTGGGTGTATGTGGGGGAGGAGGTAAATTGCATATGATTTTTTATTTTAGTTTGTTCAAGCATGCATTTTTGTAACGCGACCATAATAACCTAAAAAGATTTCAATTTATTACACAGGAGACCGACACTCAGGCATTTTTCCGTTCGGAAGGATTCCCTTGGTATGGTGAGTGTTACGAGGTTTTTACCGAGCGCAACGCAGCGGCGATAGA